GACCTTCCAAAGTATTTGTGGTTCACGGTGAAGTTAAGAAGGACCCCCCCAATGATTAAACTCTGGTATGATAAATCAAATTCATTTTCTCGTATCCGCGTTTCCCCAAAACTAAATGCTCTGTTGATTATTTATTATGTTAAAATAATTTCTTGTATTAACATGTTGGCTGTCATGTCGGACACGTTTGCTAACTAGAGAGGTTTCTGAGGATGTGTGTATTAAAAAAAAAACCAACATGGCGGTTGACGTTTTTATTCATTGAATCTGTTAACAGAAGTATTATTAGTTTTTTTTTTTTTGTATTTTTAAAGTTAATAGTTTAATCGATCGACTCGTCGGCTTTAGAATTTTTTAGTTTCAGAGCGAGGTGCATAATTTTCTTTCATAATAATAAGAAAGTACAAGAAAGGTACTGCCTAAAATTATCGGAGGGGATGCAGAGGATATTTCAGGAGTACTAGCAAGCATCTTATCAACAATGACTGTTTTAAAATCACTTCACCGATTACTTTACTAGTATTTGCTTAGCGTTACTAAGGATGATTTTTACTGTGACGCATTAAAATGTATTTTTTTTTTCTTCATAATAAAGCCGCTTAATGTCATGTTACAGTTAATCAATATTTGGTATAATGTATCTTTATTCTTGTAACATTCTATACCCATGACATCATTTAATGGTGAAGCTATCTTTTACTATTAATTTTTTGAGAAAAAAAGAATTGCGGTCCTCCAGCTTTTTTGGAATTTAATTAGGCCGCAAAGGTATCTAGTTTGGACAGCCCTGATATAAACAATTCAATGATAAATGTTTAGGCGGAGAGGAATCGCGAGTTGCACATCCATAGTCAACTTTGCCTCGACGGCCACAAGTCGACAGATTAAACATTAATAAGTCTCGTGTTTTGTGTGATTTCCGTTTTTGTTTAGTATGAATTTTAAATGAACGTTGATTTTAAATGTAAGCGTATTATGAATATTAATGTTGTTATGCCTTGATAGTTTTATCACACGGTTTTTTTAGCTATTAATTAATTAATTACGTGTCTGTATTACTTGTAGAAAATTCGTGTTCTAAAACGAATTTCATGTTTATAATATTGAATCAGAGTAATCTCTTTTTAACAAGATTGCACAAAATATGTATTTCCTCTTTTTTTTTAAAGTTTGTATAGCATTTTAAACAACGAACATTTAAAACTTGATATCTTGTTTTTGAAATCAAAAACAGCGTTCTTTTTTTATGTTGACAACTTTGTAGAAGAGCAATAATTGAACTTTTGGGTGGCAATGTAAAAGTTTATGTAGCGTGTGATTTTTTATGTTAGCCGATAGAGTTCCTCAGGTTTCCAACAAACAATGAAGGGGTTTCGTTAACCTTTTAGATTTGAGGGATTTGAGAAAGTGCATGAGCGTGGAAGCCAATTAAAATTGCAGTCATTGGTTTGTTTTTGTCAATTTCCATGAGGTTACGCAAAATTGTTGAAAATTTTTAGAATCACTAAGAAGCGCTAAAGGTCGAGTTACCCCTGTCTGTAAATTCACATAATTTACGAAGTTAATAATTAGAAAGATAAACACGTTGAATAGTGCAAACTCTAATATAATATATTTTTATCAAGTAATACCTACTATATTTATATCCAAAGACGAATTATATTAAAATTGATACTACACTATTTTTGTATTCCGAACACATTCCTTGAATACTGCAGACTGTTTTATTATAACGAATCATGGTTTTTATATATTTTCAGTGTTTTTTACCTACCATTATTGTATTTTTGTACAAATGTCTCGTGATATATTCACACTGCTGCAATACAAATGTTGTAAATAAATATTTTAAAACAGATCTTATGGTGTTTTAAATTATGTTTGGGCGCCTTGTTTGTTGGCCTTTGCGAAAAATAGGTACTATGCAAAAATCTTGCAATTTTTTTGGCGGGAACACGAAATGTCAAGTGTAATTTTTGTTTTGATGAAAAATGAATTATTAATGTGTGAATTATTATAGTGCGCGCGGAAGCGCTAGTCACCTCCTGAGGTATGTGGCGGGGAGGGTGCTATTGACAAGACGCACACGATTTTATATTTAAGTGCAGATAAATCTCAGAATAACATGTTAGAATTAATGTAATGGGTACCTAATTGTAATATTGTATTTTTCCCCCGCCCTGCCGCTCACATACCTCAGGAGGTGACTAGCCTTTCCGCGCGCACTATAATGAATTATAATTGTAATAATTATTAATGTGTGTGTAAAATGGTCGGAATTTAGGGAGATTTCAGAGGACTTTATAGATGAAGCGAGACCATGTCTAGTGACTTTCGTATGTTTTGAAAATGCTTAATAAGCCACCGCTATCACAAGTTCCGACCAGAAGAAACTCTAAACTAACAACATTCACCAAACTTATTTACTCGTAAACGTTAAGGTATCGATTTCATTTCATTCCATTTTTGTACTTGGCTTCGGCTTGTGTTATGAAGCATTTGGCTGTGTGGCCTGACGTCCCCTTAACCAGTCCCATTAATGAATAGTTTTTTTTTTTTATATAAGATAAATTCGCAGACATTCAACTGAAATCACAGGTTCGTATAAAACTGAACTGCGCGAGCACAGAACACAAAACTTACCGGTAACTTTACTTCAGACCTTAGACCTTATATCTCAAGTTGGGTGGCGCACTTGCGTTGTAGATGTCTATGGGCTCCGGTAATCGCTTAACGCCAGGTGGGCTATGAGCTCGTCCACCCATCTTAGCTATAAAAAAAAGCAACAAGACGGCACAAATAAAAACCACAATCATTTTTCATACTTCATGTATTTTTTTATATCAAAAAATTACGCACAACTTTACAAGTAATTTTCAGGCACGATACTTTTAATTAAGACTTTTAACTTACTTTTAAATTACATATACAGCGAAAACGATAACTAAACAGAAAACACACAAATTAAAATATAATAATATAAATATTTACACGATATGTTCACCGAAACAATTTATAATTATTAAATCGATACTAAAGTCCGCACTCATTCGATTTTCTACATTCATAACGCGTGTCACAAAACACTTACGGTCCAATCTCGTCTCGTTTAATGTGCCATCTTTAGTGTTTACGGAATGACATATCTCGTAATTCTTCAAAATAAATCTATACTGATAACATTGTGTCACACTCCTCCCGATCAATTAATGGTGCTTTTAGGCACCACAAGCAACGGTCGCCGTCCTCGCCGAACCCGTCGCTTGCGACGAAGGACTCGACGAGTAAATTTACCCATAGACACAGCCCACTGAGTTCCACGCCAGATCTTCTCAGTAGGTCGCGTTTCCGATCCGGTGGTAGATTCTGCGAAGCACGGCTCTTGCTAGGGCCAGTGTTGGCAACACTCCGGTTTGAGCCCCGTAATCTCACCTACACGTTCTGGTGAAGCTGAAACAGCCTCTCAAGGCTATCAGCATAGGCAGGGAAAAAAAAGGTACACACACTAAGCGATCTGTTGTGCCCTTAGTGCGAGTTTTTTAACGTTCTGGATACCGTAAAAGTTAACTCAAATTTGTATGCATTTGGAACAGCGCCCCTAGTGGAAAACGTAGGTAAACGTGTTAGTGTTAAAATATTAATCTAAATTTTAAGGCGTCTGTCGTTAAGGTCGATAAGACAAAGACAAAAACGTGTTTAATACGATTTTCTTATCTGTTAGTGTATGGTAACCACTCATCATCAGGTGGGCCGTATGCTCGTCTGCCTGCAAGGGCATTAAAAAAAAAAAATAAAAAAAATAGTGTAGGTATAGTAACCGGCAAACATCTTGAGCAAATGACCTTGACTGCGCAGAACCGAATTTTAGATCACTTTGGTGGTGAGGGTGAGGCGCGACGGCAGGGGAAATCGTATCGAGCGCGTTATTGGTAGATCAGTCGAACCTTGCGTCCCGCACCGCGCCCTCGTTCCGCTTGCTCCCAAAAGTACGCTTGCGTACAGTGGAAAGTTATTATATTATTAAAGTCTATCGTTATTAATCGTTAAGTTATTTGTTATAATTACTTGTGGACTTTGTTGCCATTGCTATTTGTTGTGTATTTGTTGATTTTTTATAAAACATACACTATGCCGCGACAAACCGGTGTAGTATTCAAAAGAGAGGGTAGAAAAATTGTGTACGACGTATATTGCTTCATTATAAAACAGGGGAAGAATGATATTATGGAAAAAGTAAAACAGACTTCGGAAGCAACAAAAACATCAGTGAGTACTGTTAGGTGCATTATTAACGAAGCTAAAGGCTCTGGCTTGCTCATCGTGCTTGGGACTCCGGGTAAGAAAAGATCAGGGAAGAAGAAAGTTACCGGAATGGATAGTTTCGTTCAATCTGTAATAAAAAGATGTAATCATAATAACTACATAACAAGCAGCGAAACTCCGTACCGTAGAAAGGCTTCGAAAAATTTAAAGAAGATATAAATTTTAATGGCTCGGAATGAAGCTTACGACGAATTATGAAAGAGCTAGGCTTCAGATGGAAAAAAAGAACAGAAAATAATCGGAAGCTGGTAAATGAAAAAAGTAACATTCGATTACTACGAATCGAATATCTTCAAAAAATAATTAATTATAGACAAAAAAGAAGACCGAATCGACCGAGTTGTAAACTACGCCGATGAGCCCTATGTCGACTCATCACGATGATAGCGACTCGGGTGATGAAAACAGTGATGATGATGATGGTCAAGATTATGATAACGAAAAAAAAAATACAAATACCAGCTTCGCTTCAACTGAACCAAGACCTGGCAACAGCTCTAGTTTTGACTTAATAGAAGGAATATCTATTTTACCCCAAGATTAAATTATTACAATTATTAACCTACATTTTTTGTTGATGTTCTAATAAATATATAAAAAAATACATATGTTGATTTTAATAATTTAATTGCATTATGACGCAGAGTAAATAATGTTTTTGCACGTGAGTATACCATGCGCAAACTTACCCCCACTACGTCAACAAATGCTCAAGAAGTTTGCCGGCTATTATACCAAGATTTTTTTGTTTGGTTATCTATTATCCATTTTATGTGTGCATCATTAAAACGAATTTGTGAACAGGTTTTTTTCGTTACGCGTCAATAAAAAAAAAATACAAAATTTAACAAAAACCTTGTGGTGTTTAGTGATCATCATCGAATCTCGATCGTTGGTTAAAGACTAGTAACGACAAATTCGCGAAATTTTCGCGCCTCAAGAAGCACTAGACACCGCCTTATAGAATGATCTCCACACACCCTGTATAATGAACTATATAGAGGCGAAATCGAACCGTTGACGTTATAACTAAAATTTGTCACTATTAAGTATTAGTATTTAGTATTAAGCCTTTCAAATAAGCAGTCTTTCGTTTCAGTATATTCTGTATGTCTTCAATTATCTTGTCGAGGCCTAGCTTCAGTTTATTCTCGACCGGGCTGGGTGCGGTTGGGTTAATGTTCATTCTGGTCAGTTCTTCTTCCAGGTCGACCGAGAAGTCGTAGTCAGGCCAGAGGTCCATGAGCTCCTCGAGCGAAGCGATCGCCTGTTGCAACGTCACGTTTATGTTGTCAATTAATTTTATCGTTTGCATCTGATCGACGGAGCGGTTCGCTTTCTTCTTCGATTTCTTTGTGTTCGTCGGAGTTATCATCTCGTAGCAAACGCCCAGTAAATACGTTAGCACGCCGATGGACTGAAATGAAAAAAATAAAAATATGTTTATAAAATACTAGCTGACCCGGCAGACTTCGTAGTGCCTCAATCGATAAATAAAAGACAAAAGGAATCCGTCCGATGGGGGACACATCAAAGGAAAAACAAAATTGTTATTTTTATTTAATTCCGAGCATTTTCATGTTTATCTACCCTTTAGACCTTCTCTGGACTTCCACAAATAATTCAAGACCAAAATTAGTCAAATCGGTCCAGCCGTTCTCGAGTTTTAGCGAAACTAACGAATAGCAATTCATTTATATATATATACTAGCGGACCCGGCCACACGTTGCTGTGGCTGTGGCTTAGGTTTTTGTTTCTAAATAACTCGCGGCCGCCTATGCTAATACCAAAAATTGACAACGTAAGGACAATTGGATTTCACTGTATTGCGTTTACTACGAAATAAATTTCACTTATACTTTAGCCTCAGAAACACGTGGTGCTTATGCCATTAAATTGTAGCTTTTGTGAAACGTTGGTATTTTTAGCACAGCGCCATCTATGAGATATTAAAGTCACAGTATAACAATTGTCTGTAAAAACTGCTTTAAGGCGCCATCTGTTTTAGACTTATGAAACTTAGAATTAATAACAAAAATCAACATAAGAAATCATTTTATTGTTAATTAATAAATATTGCGACCATTCATCGAAATAAAAACCATCCTATCTCTCAAGTTGGATCGAACTGCACATGGTGTGCGAATTTTATTATAATCGGTTAAGTGGTTTAGGAGTCCATTGAGGACAAACATTGTGACACGAGATTTATATATATTAAGANTACAATTAATAACAAAAATCAACATAAGAAATCATTTTATTGTTAATTAATAAATATTGCGACCATTCATCGAAATAAAAACCATCCTATCTCTCAAGTTGGATCGAACTGCACATGGTGTGCGAATTTTATTATAATCGGTTAAGTGGTTTAGGAGTCCATTGAGGACAAACATTGTGACACGAGATTTATATATATTAAGATATAGATAAAAGATTAGTAGATAAATAATTATTAATATTATTATTATTATTAAAACTAAACTCACTTGTAAATAATTGGACAGCGACTCGAGTCTATCCCGCATCGACCAGCCGTTGTCTTCAGCGCCGTATCGGATCTCTTGGACGATAAGTTTTGACGAAATCAAAATGATGGCGACGACTTGATCGCACAGCTCGTGCACTTTGTCAGTGTTGTTCATGGACAGCTCGCCGATCATGCGCAACGTTATCGAGTACAGTTCCCGATACGGCACCGGCGAACTTACGAAACCTGAGAAATGACAAATATATACAATTCGACGCTTGAAAGGCAAACGTGACTAAGCGACAATGCGTGAACTTTACAGTAGACTAATTTAAAGTTGAAATACCTGAAAACAAAATTTATTTTAACGAATCTAGCTATCTAATCTAGTAGTAGCATCTAGCTAGTAGCTGTAGGATTGAAATGATTTTAATAGACCTAGAAATATATCTTTTTGCGCATCGAATATGGTTATTGCCTATCATTTATGTACAAAAGCAGTTATTGTCGCTTAGTCACGTTTGCCTTTCAAGCGTCGACATGTATTTGTAATAGTCACTTAATATTAGACCATGGTAAGCGCTTCTCAAACTTTTCCCAAACTGCATGGTATTCCTTTACTTTAATTTGCACAGGTATTAAGGACTTTTTTATTTATTGCTAAGACGGGTGAATAAGCTCACGGCCCATCTGGTGTTAAATGGTCTCCGGCGCCCATAGACGTCAACAACGTAAATGCCGCCACGCACCTTTAGACTTGAGTTCAAAGTCTCAGTTATTACAGTACAACGGCTGCCCCACTGTTCAAACCGAAACGCATTACTGCTTCAGAAATAGGCAGGGTAGGGGTTGCCTACCTGTGCGGGCTCACAAGACGCCCTACCACCAATAAAGCATGTTTTCCTTTTTAATTGTTACCAGCAGGTATATTTAAATACCACTCAAATTAAGAATCTAAGGGTAGTTTTATAAGAGATTGCCGTGATCGCCCGCTTCGCTGGCCATTTAAAATTAACATTATTATTTATTGTCGTTATTATTAGGGAGTCCCAACGCTCATATAAATATTAGCCTATCCATTAAGTACATGTATTTTCTACATATATACTAAGTTTCAAATCAATCCGATGCATGGTTCAGTAGTTATAACGGAACATCCATAAAAATCTCTGTAGATTAATTATATATTAGGACTAGCTGACCCAGCAGACTTCGTAGTGCAATCAATTGATTGATAAAAGGCCTAAACTTTTGTATAAAATAAACTTAAAACAAACAAAAGGAATCCGTCCGACGGGGGACACATCAAAGGGGAAACAAAATTGTTATTTTGATTTAATTCCGAGCATTTTCATATTTAGAAGTGGTCGTGGCCTAAAGGATAAGTCCGATGCATTCGTATGTAGCGATGCACCGGTGTTCGAATCCCGCAGGCGGGTACCAATTTTTCTACTGAAATACGTACTCAACAAATGTTCACGATTGACTTCCACGGTGAAGGAATAACATCGTGTAATAAAAACCAAACCCGCAAAATTATAATTTGCTTAATCACTGGTGGTAGGACCTCTCTTGTGAGTCCGCGCGGGTAGGTACCACCACCCTGCCTATTTCTGCCGTGAAGCAGTAATGCGTTTCGGTTTGAAGGGTGGAGCAACCGTTGTAACTATACTGAGACCTTAGAACTTATATCTCGAGGTGGGTGGCGCATTTACGTTGTAGATGTCTATGGGCTGCAGTAACCACTTAACACCAGGTGGGCTGTGAGCTCGTCCATCCAAGCAATAAAAAAATAAAAATAAAAACTACCTTTTAAACCTTCTCGGGACTCCCAAAAATAATTCAAGACCAAAATTAGCCAAATCGGTCGAGCCGTTCTCGAGTTTTAGCGAGACTAACGAACAGCAATTCATTTTTATATATATAGATAGTTAGACTACAATTTTGTTCCGGTTTATCTAAAGCGGTCTTCAAAAAATATCTGTAGAACTGACCAATTATCCTGGAAGGAAACGGTCCGGATATAGTGATCTTCTCGTAAACACAATATTTCTCTGTGCATTTCTCCATCGCTTCGCTGAACGTGTCGACGCAGGTTCGCAGTTGCTCGTAATGTTGCATCTTCTCTTCGATCGGTTTGTTCTCGGCGAGTTCCGTGCACAGCGTGACCGAGGACAGCAGCGCGTCCGTCAAGCGGAGGTAGGCCATGTCTTGATCGAACGTTCGAGATCTCAAATCAGGATCCTGCAGCTCGGGCGGCTCCCAGTTCACGATGATGTTCAGGTCGCGGTTGTCGCTGGAAATACGTAACTTTAGGAATTTTATAAGCAAGACTAAGGATTAAGCGGGGCGCGGTATGATGACCCGTGAAAGCAGGAATTGGCACGCATTTTACGAATCGATCAATAAGTACGAGATAAATCTTTTCTCTTCCGTTCTCTTCTATGAGCTGTCATCGCAACACTCACTCTATCTCTCTCACTCATATCGTTATTCACACACACCATCCATGTCTTCTTCGGTCGACCTCTTCCCCCTTTACCTTGCACTACCATTTCCATACATCTCCTAGCCGCATGCATCACATGTAAGAGATAGATATGTCGAAGAAGTCACAATAATAATTATAAACACCATCGTCAGAGTCAGACATTGTAAGGGCGAATAGGGTGATCGAGTTAAGAGAAATATTGAGTGCACTAATCACGTTTGCTGTTTTAGAACGATTTAGAAATCTTCTCTTGACTTTAGCAAACGAAAACCAATGACAGTTGTTACGTCCTAATGACTGTCATTCGTTTTATTTTGCTAGGAGCCGCTCTTCAAGAAGTACTTAAGTGGTAAGTTTTCTTTTATTTTATTTTTTTATTGCTTAGTTGGGTGGACAAGCTCACAGCCCACCTGATGTTAAGTGGTTACTGGAGACCATGGACATCTACAACGTAAATGCGCCACCCACCTTGAAATATAAGTTCTAAGATCTCAGTATAGTTACAACGGCTGTCCCACCTTTTAAACTGAAACGCATTACTGCGTCACGGCAGAAGTAGGCAGGGCGGTGGTACTTACCCGCGCGGACTCACAAGAGGTCCTACCACCAGTAATAAGTGTAAGTTGGTAAGTGTGATGGCGTCTACGTGCCTCCATCGGCTAGGCTCTGTCGTAGCACGAAGTTAGCAGAGTTCAGAATATACCGCAATCGTGCTGCCATCTCTCGGGAATCGTGCTACGTTTCGTTTAGCTACCAAACTAATGACAGTCTCCGACAAATATTTTTTTCTAGTAATTATTCGGTCTTTCCGGTTTCATTCATTGCATGCGCGCGTGGTAAGCATTGTTTTGTACGCTGAACATATCGGCGTGGTACACAATTCGTCTTTTCGCATTAAAAGTGTACAATTTCAAAAATATTCGAAATTGAGTTAATATACGGAATCACTTGGTATAACCAATATTTTTCTCATAAATACTGTCAAAAGAGCGTAGTTTAGTTTTAATTTTCTTTTTTTTAGTTTACCTATATTTTGACTACTTTTAACAAAATTAATACATTTTATCTTACTTTAAAAGACAGATAATGTAACTGGTAAAAAATAAAAAATTAATGTTGCAAAGATGATTAATATGTATTAAAAATATCACACGTTAAACCTTTAAAACACTCTCCTGTAAAATTAGTAAGTTTTGAGATTATACAGTTTTGATGCGAGGAGACGAATTGTCTTGTACGCTGTACATAGCGGCGCGCCACTGTACATGACGGCGCGGTACTGTACATGGCGGCGCGGCACTGTACATGGCGGCGCGGCACTGTACACGGCGGCGCGGTACGTACGTGTGCGCGGCGTGCAGGGGCGCGGGGGGCGCGGGCGGCGCGGGGGCGGCGAGCAGCGCCAGCAGGTCGCGGCGGCGCGCCGACACGGCACAGAGCGCGCACGCCTCCAGCCGCGCCGCCCACGCGCGCAGCTCCACCACCTTCTCGAACGTGCCGAACTTGTACGCGTACGTCATGTGCTCGATGCTCTGCTGGACAAAACTTAACGTTAATCCTTAGCAATAAGGCTAAGTTCATATCACCGCGCGATTGAAGCGTGCAGTAGTCTTTGCAGTAATTGAGTATGTTGATCACATGTTCCAATGTGGGCATTAAGGTTGCGATGCCCGTTCAGTATACTTTAAAATGTAAAAGCCTTAAGCTCATTTGATATTTATTTAAAGGAAATTCGATAATTCCAACCCTATTGCGATGTAACTATTATACAATATGCGGACTCTGAGCATATTTAGATATAGAACAGAAATTATAAATCTCTCACTCTCTCTGTCTCTCACTCTCTCTCCTTCGATATTTCTTCATTAAATCTAGTGTATACTACGAGAATATTCTACTTAACATTTTGCGTAGTACTCTTAATGCCTCTCTGCTTTGCTTCCGGATATGCCCATACTACGATTACAAATACTTATTTTAATGTATATATGACTTTAACAGTTTAATTTACTGACAGAATATGTACGCGCGACAGTCTGGCATCAATATTGGAGAATGGACGTGGAAGAGCCAATTTGCTTATAGATTTTATACCGAAAACTGAAACGCTGGAGAAGAAGACAAAGATTATACTGGGTGCATCCTGTTTTAAGTGAAAGACTTCCTCTTTTTTTGTAACTTTATATCCCGCCCTTGATTTTTTATATTTTATGATAGCGTTGAAAACTGGACAGGTCGATGCCGTTTTGTAGAACTTGTACCGCGCGGTTATGTGAACAATAAATACTGTTTAGATTGATCTTGTACCGCGTGGTCATATGATTTAGCCAAGACTTCGAGAAGAGTTCACGGTCCAACGTATAAAGGGGGCTATATGTATTTATTTAAAAATCCGACTATATTAACACGTTGAACGCCACATGAAAAATCGAGTATCTTCATTCAGGCCACGGTGCTCACCGGTAAGCCCTATCTCACTGAATCGTTCGGGCCATAAGGGTCACCCGTGAGCCGCGTGAGGATTCCAACGTAAAAGCTTCCTACAAGCCACAGATTGCAACTATCCAACAAAACGCGTATGGAAGTGAGCCGCGTGGCCCTTTAGCCGAACCGATATTATTATTACCTTAAGTTTTCAGATACAATAGGAAGTTATAGTTTTTATCAAGATAAATAGCCTTTTAAAATATCTTAAGAAATAGACAATAAAAGTCGCTAATTTTTATCTTCCGTACAAATTATCGCATTTAATAAATTTTATATTTTTTTTTATTTATGCTTAGGTGGGTGGACTAGCTCACAGCCCACCTGGTGTTAAGTGGTTACTGGAGCCCATAGACATCTACAACGTCAATGCGCCACCCATTTTGAGATATGTCTCAATATAGTTACAACGGCCACCCCGCCCTTCAAACTCGTCCACCCATCTAAGGAAAAAAAGGTAGGAAAAAAAAATACCGGCTAATAATTCATCAGCAAACAGCTCGTGAAGTGAGATATGACTGTTTAAATATAAATACCAACATCCTTAGCGTGGTGCGTGTGGAAGGCCCTAAGGTCGGCCAGCAGCTGCAGGGCGCGCGTCGGCACGCAGGCCGCGTCCGCTCGCGCAGTGTGCAGCCAGCCCAGCGACACCAGCTGTATGTGCTTCAGCTCTAGGCGACGGTAGATCGAATCTGCGGCTAATGCGTTGCCTGAAACATTTTAAAGCTGTCGCAAATATCGGCGAACCTGGCTTTTTTTTTTTTTTACCGAGCTGAGAGCCTTTAACGTAACCCTGACGTTTGTAGGTGAGCTCACGGGGCTCAAACCTGATGACGTTGCTAACACGAACCCTAGCAAGAGCCGTGCTTCGCAGAATCTACCACCGGATCGGAAACGCGACCCACTGAGAAGATCCGGCGAAAAACTCAGTGGGCTGTGTCTGAGAGTTAATTTACTCGTCGAGCCCTTCGTCGCAAGCGACGGGTTCGACGAGAACGGTGACCGGTGCTTGAAGTACCGAAAAGCACCGTTAGTGGATCGGGAGGATGCGAACCTGGCTTAATGACGTCATGCAAACTAGAGAGACAGCAAAAAAATTCGAGATGTTGCAAAAAAATATTAGCCGCGCCAATAAAGAAACGAATCTAAAATGGCGGCGGCGATCATGCTGCTCTCACTCTAAACTATTGCTGTCTTTAGTCGCACACGGCGCGTACTGCATGAATTTTTTTTTATCAATTCTGACTTTGTTTCGTCACGATAGAAATCGATATAGATACGAGGACTATGGAAGGGGAACACATGTTGCACCGACCCCAGGTGACTGGGGGAAAGGCAGGAGAATGATGAACATGAAAACTTAACACTGCTATATTATAGCACCGGCGTATTTCTGCTAAGAAGCAATATCCCATTGCGGATTGTAGGATGTGTAAGTTTACATATAAATACGTTTAAGGCTCTGAACTCATGTCTCCGGGTAAATGAATCAAATCAAATAAAAAAAAAATATTCAACATAAATGAAAGTACATACTTGTTGAACGTCAAAAAGAACTACCGCCAATTCACAAAAACTAGCCTCCGTCCTGAGAAGAACTGGCAAGAAACTCAGCGGGCATGTCTTTTTTATCTTTTTTCTTTTTTGAAATATTAGATTTTTTTTATAATTCATTTTTACAATGAGTATTATAACGTAACAATTATTGCAATATTGAAATGCCCGGAGCGAGCAACTCATTCTCACTTTGTGCAATCTTCTAGATAATCATTGATTTTATAGTAAGCTTAGAACTTATATCTCGAGGTGGATGGCGCATTTACGTTGTAGATGTCTATGGGCTCCGGTAACCACTTAACACCAGGTGGGCTGTGAGCTCGTCCATCCACCTAAGCAATAAAAAAAAACGCTTTTTGTACAGATGTTCTTTAATAGTTTTCTTAAACCTATGTGAGAATAAATGTGAGATGGAAATCCATAAAACGCTCACCACATACTCACCTAGCAGATGATACAGTTGCACTAGAAGAAGCTTCACGTGATAATTCGCTGGTGAATACAACAATACTAATTCTAAGAGACACAAGGCTTCGAGGATGGGTTTTGAGCTCTTCTGTTCTGTTGCTGTAAAGCCAAAATAAAAATTGTGACAACTTTGCTGAACACACATATTTTTATAACATAATCGAATAGCATGTTTAATATTCTATACATTTTAAACAAATAACAATAAATAGACAAGCATACAGTCTACCTGATAATAAGTAATCATCATCACACATGGACATCAGCAATACCAAGGGTACAGCCAAACCACTGCCTATTTCTATTCGTTACATCAGAGATTCATGTGAATTACCAACTTATAAATCTAATAGCCATTTATTTAACTTTAGTTATGTTTTTAGATACAAATAAACATATAAATATATAGAAAACAGACAGACACACAGCAATAATAAATAAATAAAATGGTTATATATCTGGTACCGTGTTAACATACCAGCATAAAAATAATGATGAGCCGCTAGTATCGCATAGCTATCTGCGGAACAGAACTCAGTAGTTGAGTACTTGATCATGTTTTTCTCGAGGGACCTGAGGTAATGCCTCCTGAGCGTAGCGGCTAGCTGGAGGGCGTCTGTCGCACCAGGACGAGGGGCTGTCAGGCGCCATGCTGTCAGACACGAGATGTGACGCTGTATGTCGTCCATCTGTAGGAGACAAGGTACATTTATTGCTTAGATGGACGAGCTCACAGCCTACCTGGTGTTAAGTGGTCACTGGAGCCCATAGACATCTACAATGCAAATGCGCCACCCACCTTGAGATGTAAGTTGTAAGGTCTCAGTATAGTTACAACGGCTGCCGCACCCACCTTTCAAACCGAAACGCATTACTGCTTCACGGCAGGAATGGGCGGGTTGGTGGTACCTATCCGTGCGGACTCACAAGAGGTCCTACCACCAGTATAGAACCTGAATTGTGCTACCTTTTTTAATGGAATAACAATGGGTCACTGGAGCAGATATGACAATAAGTCCCAAAGGTTTACTATACTGCTACCTCCATTAAAGAAGGAATGCATGATACATACACAGAAATAGGCAGGTTGGTGGCGTGCCTCACAATTTGCTCTACAGAAGCAGTTGAAAATAATATTTTCTACATCCTACTAATATTATAAACGCGAAAGTTAGTAAGAATGTATGGATGTGTGTTTGTTACTCTTTCACGCTAAAACTAAAGGATGGATTTTGATGAAATTTTACAATAATGTAGCTGACATATCAGAATAACATATAGGCTGGAATTTATTGAAGTGAAACTTCTAATGCGACTTCCAATAAGATTGCATTAAACGTTTAACGCTACCATGGAATAGAAAGAGACAGCGAGAGTGAATACATGGCACTCGAACGCATGCGCGTAGTATACCTGTTACAGGCCAGCGCCAGCGTTAGCAACGAGTAGCGTCCAATATTTTAATTAAGTATTTAAAAATATATATAATATGTTTATTTTTTTATCTATAATTTAAAATATATATAATATAAATGTTGAAGATGTCGCATCTCTTATACACAGCATTCCCTATTACAAAAGCAATCTGATTTAAGGATGAAAAATGAAGAAAACCACAATACTACACATCGAAAAAGAAGTTTCACTTCATTCACGTGCACCTAGTTGCACGTGCACCGTTTTTTTAATAGCGTGAATTACCCAAAATATAACAATAAGTATCAAGTAATTAGGAAAAAATCTGCCATCTCATTTTCATAATCAATAATAAATTACAATTTCGAAGCGAAGCGACGGCGGGTCCCTAGTATATCATATATGTACCTCGATTCTATACCACAATAACTGGAGCCAATAAAAATTGCTACTGTTGTATGAAAAAATGAATTGAAGAAAAACAAATTCAATAATTTAACTTATTATAAGCACAAATTCATTGACTTACTGTTTCTGGTTCAGAGTTTTCATCGAAACCGAGGCATGTCAGGAAATCTCTGCAGTTAGCCTCCCTTTCTTCTTGGGGTATCATCGCTAAATAAACCTTCAAGTCTGGTACAGCACAAGGTTTGCTCGCAAACACCCTTAAATACTGCACGCAGAGTGCCAACGCACTACCGAGTAACGCTGTCGGATCTCCTTCGACAGACAAACGTTTCCACAATTCCAGTCTGGCTAAGTAAGGACCTCTCAATGTTCGCCCGGAAGACATACTTTCGACTAACTGACATATAAACTCATGGCATTTCTCAGCCGTATCGTCTATATTTTCTTCGTTGCTATTCTCTTTCATCAAATGGAAGACAGAGTCGAAATAAGGCATGTAATAATCCCATCTATCTAAATTATCATATAGTAGCTCTTTACAGAGGATGTTGACTTTTTTCCATCTACCCAACTTTTTCAAATACGGAATACAAGCTTGCGATATAGAACCAGGTATAAGTTGTCCATACAAAGGGCTTTCTATAAATTTGATTATGTCTTCCCATTTCTCTTGTAGTTCTAATATCATTATGTAAAGGCGGGCTTCTTGTTCAGCTTCCATTCGATTTTCAGATATAAAATTGTCTATCATTCTTTGGGCAAGAGTGAGGAGAATGTTCCTTTTTGTTGTGTCTTCTGTTTCTTTGGCCTAAAATTTATAAGGTGATTTATTATCTTAATTGTGATTAAATGTATGTATGTACATATTGTGTACATTCATCAACAAAGATCTTTACTTATATGCCATGTTCATTTTGTGATAAATTTATCCACGCATATACTGTCTGAAATGTTTCTTTGAAACTTTTGAAACATTAGGAACCGTAAACTTACTGCCCTTAAATATTAATTACAATTTTAATATTCTGAAAGCATTCTACACAATTATGTATTAAATAAATAAATAAACTATCAAATAAAAAAGCACATCAGAAAATTTGATCAATTTCAATTCTATTGGTATATTATATGACTCGGTGATATGGTAATCAGCACCTGTCTGTTGGGTTGGAGGTCAGGGGTTCAATTCCCACATCAAGCAAACATTCATGTCATGAACAAGCTTGTTTCCTGTCTTAGTTTGTATTTTATGAATATTAATTGAGAATATCATTGTTTGTATGATTATCAGTTTTTGGTTACAGATAATCCTCGTTTAGGGCCACATGGTGTGTGTGATATGGCTCGAATATTTTTTTCTTTCAGATTGTACTGTAATATACACAAATTGTAAAGATAAGTACAGTTAAATCATAATATTGTGCACACCTGCAAAACTATGCTCATGACTGCCCAGAAATAATATGGATTTTTTGGTGCAAACTTGTATATTGCCATTGCTGCTCGTTGCTGCGATCGAAAATCTCCGACCCGGACATATGACATGAACAGGTGAGAATGTAGTTCTTCATTTGTTGTATCTATTTTCACAGCATTTTCATAGATGGTACAAACTTTGTGCACTGCAGAAAAGAAACTTAAAAATATTAAATAATCATCAGGTTCATTTAAACTTACAAAAAAAAATACAACATTACAATATTTAGTTATATACAATTAGAGTGAGGTATATTTATATAAGATATATTAACAGTACTTTAGTTTAATAAGCCAATACTTTTCTAACAGGTAACAGAGTATTTTTCCAACCTACTCAGATAGGTGGTATGACCTCTTGTGACTCTGCAGGGGAAGGTAACACCACCCTGCCATTTATGCCGTGAAGCAGTAATGCATTTTGGTTTGAAGGGTGGGGTAACTGTTATAACTATACTGAGATGAAACCTTAGAACTCATAAGGTGAGTTGCGACATTTACGGTGTAGATGTCTATGGGCTCCAGTAACCACTTAGCACCACGTGGGCTGTGAGCTTATCCACACATCGAAAAAAAATTGTAAACTTTATATCTTTGTATATTGAAAATGGTGTGCATGCTAGACTAAGCCACTGTCATAGAAACAAATTTACAATTTAAGCTTAATAATTTATACTTACTGCCTAATGGTTAGACATGTGTATTTATCTTATAATTTAAACATAAAAAACTAAAACTAACTATGCAGAAAACATTAATACATCTATTTATAAAATTTTGTATGGATGAACATCCAATGTAAATTCCCAAACTGCATAAGGCTAATTTAGTGACAATACTTAATTAAAATTAAAATTGCATAACTTACTTATCACATGACTGAAGATATACATTACAGTTTGAAGTGTACAACAGTAGTTATATAATACAAGTGCAACTTTAACATTATGTTTAAGGCAGGCAGAATTCAGGTTGAGTTGTTGGTGGACTACAGTATCTACTTAATATCAGATGGGCCATGTTATTGTTTATATAACTTTACTTTCAAAATTAATAGATAGCAGAAGTTTTCAAATATCAGGTCAAATAATATATGTAGAATTAGTGTAAATTAAATAATTATGGTAAAGTATATGCATACTAAATATAGCTTGATATTTCCACACTACTTTGTCATGTATATTATAAGTTATTAAAGACTATCATATTATTATAAGCAATAATAATAATAATATTTTATTGAACTAAATATATCATTGGATTAATTAATTCAATTGTTTTTATCGTTTCAAGTTAGTAGTATATTTGTATAATTCTACAGTTTAGTGTGTTACTCACATTGCTGAGACTCCCGAAATGACATTGTCATCGCCTGTAATGTCGTGTCATCGCTAGGCTTCTCCTCGACCAATGCATCTAGCACAGCTTCTGCCTCTTGGGCTCTACCTAACCTATAAAGTGCTAAAGCTTTCAAAGCTCGCGCCGCTTGTAACGATGGACTCTTTTTTAATACCTTTTCCGCCTCTTGTAAAGCCTTTTTATTATACCCATTATCCAGCCAATCTAAAAAACATCGGGCGGTAAAAATTCTGGAAGAAGGAGTTTGGTTGGACATTTCATTCGAAAAGACAGTCAGTTTTAATGTGAAAATTTACCATATACAGGCCGCAACCGTCGTTCTACAACGCCACCATCGTGCACATGCTGCGATCTTAACGCCATTTTTCATTTATAGCTAGATTTTTGTACAAAACCGAATGTGCTATCGGCAAATTTTGAGCTTTTTAAGCTGTAGACTGAAATTGAGCAATTAGCACGTTTGTTTTGCGAGCTTTATCTTTATCTATGCCTTTAGGCTTGACGATGACAGTGACATTTGACAGTATTGCCAATATTTTAAATTTTTAAGAATATCGGACATAGGGAGACTCATAACTTGCTGACGGTAGCTAACGGCGGTTTTTTTAATTGCTAAAAAACTTTATTTCGGTGTGGCTCTGAAGGTGTTTAGTCTAGTTTTATTTCTATAGTTTTTAGCGCAACGGAAAATTATTTTTATTAGTATATTGTAACAGGACCCATAGAAGCCACTGGCTGGCTGGTAGCCTTAAAGGGCTATGCCAGCGTCACCTAGCGAGTAGATGAACTTGTGGCGTTTAAGAACGCACCTTTTATATGATGCGTAAGTCGGAACGCACGAGAGGTGGAAAAAAGAATATAGTCTGTGACACGGGACCTTTTTACCGCCGAAAATTTAAAACGTAAAATTAATTTATAATGTGTTTAATAACTATTATAATATAATATAATAACTTAGAATTGTTTATGCCGCTACAACAACAAAATTTCTATTGTTTCAACTGTGGTGTTAATTACATAAAACACGACTTTACGGCGAAATAAAGAAGGGACTATGGCCGTTTTCCAATTACAGCAACACAAGAACGCATTATGCGGCATAATGCTCAACTAAGCTTCAGCATAATTCGGCATTGTGGGTCACTGAGTCGCATTATGCTCTGTAATTAACCATTACTTAATGGTAGTTTTCCAATTACAGAGCATAATGCGACTCAGTTTTGTGTAATAGATATTTTTATAGTATATTTTTATGTTTTCGCGACTAGTACATACAACGGCGGATCCAGGGGGGGGGGTCATGGGGGTCATGACCACCCCCCTGAGCTAGTTCCAGGACTTGAACTAACTTGGACTAATTGAAGAACATCATGATTTATTTATTATTTATTGTTATCAAAATTAAATTATAAGTTCTTAAATTGCCCACGACTATGTGACCCCCTCCTGGCGCCAAAGCTGGATTCGCCCTTGAGTACATATAATAAAACAACGTTTAAACGGTTTTAAGCGCGATATTTTTATTACAATGCTTCGGCCAAGTTTCAGTAGCCGTGAACACGGAAGGCAAAGATGTCCAGTGTCAATGAGTGGAGTTCTTAGCTGGCTTATAAAAGTAATCTCTTCTTTCTCTGGCGACAACTGAGATCCATTCTGCACACGTGATTGCTAGGAAAGCTAGAATAAAAAAGGAAAGCTAAGTATCCAATGAGAATCCAACAAACAGACACAAAAGCAGAATTAACCAATTTTTACTAACCAATTTTGAAGGACTGCTAACAAATTTTTAAAAATTATTACAACACAAATCTACTTTTCTGTTAAACAAAAATTTTATCCAAGTGTTGGCGAGCCTTGGCCAACATTTGTAGCGGTGGTTAAAAATCTGTAATTTTGTTTAAAATTTAATATTATTTATTAGTTTAAAGCTTAAAATATAACGTATACTTCATGTACTTACCGAAAGTAAGATACTCCGGCCGTTAAATTGCTTTATCGGGCATTTTTTGCAACTTTTGAATACACACTGCGGCATTGTGAGACGGGTTGACATTGGCTGTGTCTGAAGTGAACTAAACTAAATAAGAGCTCACATTTCAAGTGCGCTGTTATTAAACGAGACGGATTTTTGCGCCGACCCAAAATCTAGTTATTGTTGATCGAAGAGTTGTGTGATTTGTTTTATTTTGTCTATTTCGTGTTTCTTCAGGTTTAAATGTGTAATAACAGTGGTTTATTAACTGTTTAATATCTGTGAAAGTGCAAAAATGTGGGAAAATGAAACAAAACTGCTGGACGTAACTTCTCGGGTTCCTCCAAAAAGTCCACTGAAAAAATCTCAGTAAATGACCACCATTTTACTGCGATTATATTTCATCCCATATCATCTCATCTCATGTCATTTAATTTCGTTTTCATTTCCCTTCATGCCATGTTTCATAATAATCAACTTCATTTCATTTCATAATATCATTTTCATTTAAAAAAGTTACGTATCATTAAAATTAAAATAAGACTTGCCCTAAAGGTCTTAGTTACCAGGTCATAAAATCCCTTAAAAAATTCAATATTATTTCCCGACCAACACTTTTTACAACTTTAGCCATTGTAAATATAAAATAGTTTAAATAGGTACGACAAATGAATAAAAAACGCAATGGTAACGAACACAACAACAGCACTTGCTTGACAGCATAACGAAAAACGGCAAACATGGCCGAACTGTTATATTAGTTCCATTTATCCTCGTGGGACTTCTTCCGTGACTCTAAAACAGTTTTATGCATAGGCAAATACATAAATTTTGTATTGTTTCGTATGTAGTAACTACGTAGTTTTTTGGCGCAATGATGACCGGGAGACAGGTATTTTCGGAAAAAGAAAAATTCTGCCTACAAAGGCTTATTTTTAAACATAAACTTAATTGTGCTGCCCGAAATGGTGCAGGAAACATGGCTGCTAAAAGAACAGCGTGGGCACGCTTAGCAGAAGAATTTAATTCTATAGAATCAAATGCTAGGGTAGGTATGTAAAATTCAATTTTCTAAAGCTCCATAAGAACATGTTAGAACATAATAGAATAATAATAACATCTTTGTTTGTAGAGATCTGAAGTTCAATTAAAGAAATGCTGGGACAATATGAAAACCAGGAGGAAACAGAGATTGATCCAAGAAAAAAGGGACCGGTTGAAGGGAGAACTGTCGAACTCATTCACAATACAGTCTCGAGATGATGAGGCACATAATGATATGACCGATTTAAAGATCCTAATAAAAGGGGATAATGACAGAATTATGCCTTCCACACCTAAAGGTAAACAATAGGTAAAAGGTAAACAACCAAACGAAAATGTTGTCTTTCCTTATCAAATCAAGGGGTAAAAGGCTATTTGCTTTAACCATTCACCAGCCCAAATGTATTTAGTAGTAATTTTGTAGTATTTTTGTTGTTTATATGATTAATCTATTTTTATTAGAATCATTATTTTTTGCTCAATTTTACACTTAATAAAATGAGAGGTTAATGAATGAATGTCATTTAATTTTTACAGTGACTAACATTCGGAGTCTAGCTGTTGATGAGGACTTGAAAATCAGAAAAGAACATAACATATCCCAAAGACATCATGAGGAACTCATTAAGTTAAGGATAGCGGAGCAAGAGTGGGTTACTAAAGCTGCTGAAGAAAGATATCACAAGGCACGTCTAGAGAAAGAGCTAGCAGAACTCAGACTTGAGAAAGAAAAACGTATAAATATATGATTATCTTTATTTAAAAAATCAAATAATTTAATCCCTCAAAATGTTTACACTCATGTCTATGAAGTGTAATTATACTGTGTACGATTGTACTGTGATTCCCTAACAAAATTGCTAACTTGTTCTCTGGGGTAATAATGTTCCGTTATCATCACTTCTATTTCTACTAATTGAGTCGTCTATTATCAAAGGCGGCAATCTGACTTTTGGACAATGATTGGTAAATCAGAAAAACGAATTATTGACTTTGTATTCCATTGGCAGTCACAAAACTCTTCGGAACGACATCTTAGATAAATAACAGGTTAACTATTAACCTTTATTTAATGCAGGTTTTGAACCGTATTCTTTGAAGGAGACGATTATATTCAAATNTATTCCATTGGCAGTCACAAAACTCTTCGGAACGACATCTTAGATAAATAACAGGTTAACTATTAACCTTTATTTAATGCAGGTTTTGAACCGTATTCTTTGAAGGAGACGATTATATTCAAATCAATCTGTATTGACATATCAATAAAAATTTTTTGTCCAAATGTACAGATTGCCGCCTTTGATAATAGACGACTCAATTACCCATTTGTTTGCACTAGTCCCTTTTTTTTCCCTACCTATGCTGATAGCCTTGAGAGGCTATTTCAGCTTCACCCTAACGTTTGTAGGTGAGCTCGCGGGGCTCAACCGGAGAGTTGCTAACACTGACCCTAGCAAAAGCAGTGCTTTGCAGAATCTACCACCGGATCGGAAACACGACCCATTGAGAAGATCTGGCGAGAAACTCAGTGGGCTAAATAAACTATACAATGAATTTTATAATATTTCATTGGAAACATAAAATGAAAAAGAATGGAACATGAGTTACAGAATCCCAATAATAACATGTGACTAATGGGATTTTCAATTCTGCCTTCCATCTTATTGGATTACAAAGTTCTTCTCCATATCAGTGAGACAAAAGTTAAAAGTTGCTTGTCCCAGCATTGTTTGTTGTTGGATTGAATAATAAATTTCTAAAGGATTAGTAGACTTATAAAAGAATCATCATTTCAAAGTTTGCCTTCACACAAATTGAAGAAGTATGCAGAAAAAATTTAGTAACATTTCGATTTAGATTAGAACGTTGTATTAGCTATAAGGCCGAGTGAGTGCTAATCTAGCTACCAGACTTTGAGGCAGTGTAAAGGCACTCCTTTACATAAAAAAAGCTTAAAAGACACTTCCTCATGATTTCTATGGAATTGTCCTTTATCCTTATAATACAAAGAAGTATGTAATTTCCTTATGAAACCACAACATCATTATAAATACGAAATTGTTTTCAATTTGGTACGGGAATTCCAATGAAGTCCAGCTAGCCAGTAAACCAGTCTGTTCGAGTAATGACTAAGTAATTAGCAATAGCTAATATTTCTTCCCTTTTATTGATTATAAAATAGCAGAATTAAAATCAAAGATGATGCCGTCTTCTCCGTTTCGTCATTCGCGCAGCCTGCCGCCATAGGAGAGTTCATCCACAGTGTCCTTCAAACTAAGTTTGAGGAGAGTCTGTCGCTGGTATTGTTGACGTTCAGGAACGTCGGTGACCACTGATCATTATGTAGATTGTATCCTCGTCTTTCCATAAGTTATATAAAAAAGTATAAAATGCCCGGTTTTACCTTAGGGGTAACAAGGCTTAGAATCCTGCAGGTAAGTGTCAGAAGTCGTGGCCTAAACGATAACACGCCCGGTGCATTCGTATCGAGCGATGCGACTGTGCCGGTGTTGGAATGCCTCGGGCAGAGTTTACTGGTGGTAAGGCATCTTGTAAACCTGCATGGGTAGGTATCACCACTGCCTATTTCTGTCTTGAAGCAATAATGCGTTTCGGTTTGAAGGGTGGGGTAGCCGTTGTACTGTAAAACCTGAGGCTTAGAACTCATGTCTCAAGGTAGCTGACAGCTTCAACATGGTTGATGTTTATAGGCTCTGGTTACCACTTAACACCAGGTGTTTGAGCTTGTATATCTATAGAAGAAATAAAGAAATAAAAAAGTTAAACTAATATTTGAGGCCGTCAGCGCAAAAGCGGCCTAAGCTTACTATAGTTAGTGTGGAGGCAATTAGTTATATTTTAAATAAATTATAATATATGTATGTAACATAATAATATAAGCTTGAACATGAAAAATTGTGGTTTAGGCCACTTTTGCGCTGATGGCCTCATTTCCTATTCACAAATTACACTTCGTCGTGTAATTTGTGAAAGTGTTCGCAAAAAATATAATTTGCGTAGTAATTACTGGTGTCTTGTGGGTCCTCACGGGTAGGTACCACTACCCTGCCTTTTTCTGTCACGAAGTAGTAATGGGTTCCAATTTGAAAGGCTGGGACAGCCGTTATTCTATAAAACTCAGCCTAAGAGCTCGTGTCTGAAAGTGAGCATTACGTACGTATGTATTCTGGAGTAGATTAGGTACCTACATATGTTTCTGGACTCTGGGTGTGCCGTGAGGTCGTTAACCCGTTTAAGTAATAAAAAAGTAAATATTTACCTAATACTTGCACACGGAACGACCTTCAAATTTGGGATTATTCCTCATTTCCTCAGGTTAAGTGACACAAGTTAAAAATTTTCATTGAAATAAATACAATATCCCTCGAGTTTAATAAATGTTATACGGTATATGGTTGTGAATAAAATACGCAGAATTTTATAGACATTATTAAGTACAAGGTGGGTAGCTACAATTAAATCGCGACGTTTAGGAGTTTCGTTAGATAGCTTCGATCAACAATAGTAACTAGATTTCGGGTCGGTGCATAAAATCCGTCTCGTCAAATAACAGCTCACTTGAAATGTGAGCTGTTATTTTGTTTAGTTCACTTCAAACACAGCCAATGTCAACCCGTCTCACAATACCGCAGTGTGTATTCAAAAGTTGCAAAAATAAGGCCCGAAAAAGCAATTTAACGTCCGGAGTATCTTACTTTCGGTAAGTACATGAAGTGTAAACTATATTTTAAGCTTTAAACTTATAAATAATATTAAATTTTGAACAAAATTACTGATTTTTAACCACCGCTACAAATGTTGGCCAAGGCTCGGCCAACACATGGACAAACTTTTGCTTAACAGAACAGTAAATGCATGGAGTAGATTTGTGTTGTAATAATTTTTCGAAATTTGTTAGCAGTACTTCAAAATTAGTTGGTTAAAACTGCTTAATGCTGCTTTTGTGTCTGTTTGTTGGACTCTCATTAGATACTTAGCTTTCCNAAAACTGCTTAATGCTGCTTTTGTGTCTGTTTGTTGGACTCTCATTAGATACTTAGCTTTCCATTTTTATTTTAGCTTTCCTAGCAATCACGTGTGCAGAATGGATCTCGATTGTCGCCAGAGAAACAAGAGATGACTTTTATAAGCCAGCTAAGATCTCCGCTCATTGACACTGGACATCTTTGCCTTCCGTGCTCACTGCTACTGAAACGTGGCCGAAACATTGTAATAAAAATACCGCGCTTGAAACCGTTTAAACGTTGTTTTATTATGTGCACTGGTCGCGAAAACTTAAAAATATATATTACACAAAAACGTAACGCTAATAAAATAATAATAAGTAATGTATAGATACTAACAAACATACATTTCCAAAACATAAAAAGTTAACAACTAAACTTTTACTTTAATTCATTAATAAATTATTTTAGTGTTCAGCGCGACTCCCTTACCTCCTGTAGTAAATAGAAATCGGCATTTCAAGAAGCAATAATAAATAAAGCAAAACGATGTTAGTTCTCAGAGCAATTAAGGGAAAAGTTACTTTATTTGTTGCACCTTAAGATTGATTTAACATTAAAAGTTGTTTAATATATGTCTTTTTATTGGTAAGTGACAGGAGTAATTTATTGCTTTGCTCGTTTTATGTGACGAATGATCGTAAGTATTAGATAATGTTTTGGAGATTTGTGACTTTATTACTAGGTGCTATAGTTGTAATTAGTTTGAACGTAAAAGTGTTTCAAAACTTTTTTCTCCGTTTGTTACTAAACGAATGTAGCTATATAAGTATATATTCACGCGGACAGTTTTTGCTTTAATTTTGTACGTATCCCTTTATCTAGTTACTATTGTTGATCGAAGTTAGATAGGTACTATACAGCAGCAGGTGGTTCGTATATGGCTAGTAACAAAAGGTCGTGAACTTGTTTCTATACTCGTGATGGTGTGATCGCAGCGAGACAACTACATATAAACACTAATATCTATGCATGTAGCTGGCAACATAAAACAGGAAAAAAAACTATGTATTTAAAAAATTTCGTAACATTTAATCCGTAATAAATATCTTTCACGAACATCGTCGAACTTAAACTTAATTTTATTCTATAAAATCACTCTGGACGAATGCGTCTGACCGACGAATCCGACCTATTTCGAACACATACACAGATATACAAATTAACAGCAATAGAATAAAAAATCTCAATTATTTAGCTCTTAGGTCTACTGTTTCGAAACCAGATTCCACGGTCGATATTTTAGCCGGCACTAGATCCGGAGGCGTTTCTCTAGACAACGAGGCGCGTTTGTGTCTCGGAGGAGGCAGGGGTGCAGGTGGAAGCGACTTTGACTTCAAAAGATTCTTGATTCTCATTCCGCCTCTGTAGTAATACAGGTAAATAGCCGCGAGCACTGCAATCGAAATGAGCAGTGTCGTGATCGCGATGACAGCACCGTACCAGGCGGTTCCGCTGGACTCCTCCGGCGTCGGCACTGTCGGCCGTCTTCCAGGAGGCACGTAGGTCGGTCTGGGCTTCCTGGTGGTTGTACTAAAGCGCTCGCCGATCGCTATGTCCGCACAAGCCCTGAACTCCTCTTGTGGTCCACACCCGACCGATTCTGTTCCGTTTTCGCACTTACCCCAGTTATTTCCGGCAATGTACCTCCATTGCATTACGCAATGAGAGCATTCCAGTCCTTCAGGCAGCTGATACTTCATTTCGTAAACTTTATTTCCGTCTCTCGGATAGAATTTAGTGCTGTCTTTTCCGTCCATTTTGAGAACATATTTGTCTAAGCATTCTTGCGTTGTAGATTTTGGTTCTTCGCAAACTCTGAACTCAAAGAATCCATTGTGGCTGGCCGTTAATTCTACTTTTATCGTTATTGTTGTTTTGGGTGCATATTTACGTACGATTATACCTTTTCCGAATCTCCCTCCCAGCTCGTGAGCTCGAGGTGTACTAGCATCCCATGGGTCTCCGCAAACGCCGCATTTCCCGTCGTTTTTATTCCATTGTCTTGAGAATCCACCGCAGAAGAGTTCGTGATCGTTGTAATTATGTGGCGTGTCAAATCCGAACCTCCATGCCGACGCTCGGGAGGGAGGTTCTATGAGGCGGCCGTGACCACTAGCTCTTCCCCATGACAATGCTATTACCGCCAGCCAGCACCATAAAATCTGAAACGAAGAGAAAATAGTTATACAAAATTGTTCATATTAATCGAATGTTTTAAAGGAGCTATTTAAACAACTTTTTTAACAACTAGAAGAGCAGATGATACTACTAGACGTATCAGAAGGTAATGAGAGTTAACTAAAATGCAAATAAAGTGAGTAATGCTTTGGGTAATTACTTCAGTGATTTAATAAAAATAAAATTGCAACGTCACTTTTTTAAGGGGCCCCAGCCAATAACTTTGCCATGGAGCTCAGATGGTATAGTTTTTTTTTATGATTGAGATATTACTGGTGGCCCCGAGGCCTTTCCAGTTTCACCAGGGCAGGTGGGTGGGCAAGGCCTCAGCCAGGAGGGGTGGGATTGCTAAGAGCTACCCGAGCGCCTCCAAAGGAGACCTAACAACCCAAGAGTAGTTGCTTCGCAAATAAATCTACTACTGGATCGGAATCGCGACCCATTGAGGACATCCGGCGTGAAACTCAGCGGGCTGATATATAAGTTAGGTTACACTTCGAACTCTTTGTCGAGTTCGACGAGCAAGGGTTATTGAATTTGATGGATCCGTGACGACGTGTCTAGGGCGTCGACGGTGACTGGTTTCTGCGTGATCAGGATTCGGGGAGTAGTCTGCGGTGGCAACGATAAGACGATTATCATGATGCATAGCCTTATCGAAGTACCGTTCCGACACTGACTTCATGTGTTTCCGGACTAATTCGAGGCCAAGGTCGTCGTGTAGGTCAACGTTCGTCACGATCCACGGAGTTCCGACGGCTAACCTGTAAAAGCGGGATTGTAGGGATTTGAGGGTCTCTATGCTTGTACGGGCCGCGTGAGTGAACACCACTCGCGTAAGTCATGACGGGCCTTGTAAGTTACAATAATAAAATACAAGTTTTGTAAACTGTCACCTTCTTCCGAAGGGACATTATACTCCGCTTTCAGATTATGGGGTAGAGCAGTGTTTCCCAGCCTTTTTTGTGCTATGCCCCATTGTAACATTTCTAAATTTTTTATGCCCCCCATACATAAGTTTTAACATAAAACATTAATTTGTTCACTTAAGAAACATAAATGATAGGTTTTAGGAAGAAATCACTATGAAATTGTTACCAAAACACAGTGAGTAATATTTCAAAACATAATAAAAAACTGAAATTCAAATTCAAAATAATTTTAATACAGATTTTATATATTAATTTAGTGCGATTGCCCCCTTTAATTATCAAATTGCCCCCTTGCGGGGCGTGGGGCCCACGTTGGGAAATACCTGGGTAGAGTCTGTCGAGAATAAACTCGGCACGGTCGCGGACTGATTTTATATGCGGGCAGAATGTCATGGATGCATTCAGGGTGATTCCCCGTTACTTGACCTTCCTGGCTTAGGGTATAGGTTGGCGGAAGAGGGCGATCGGGGGTGTGGTATAGCTACTTAAGTAGGTACTAGGTACATACGCCATTGAGTCAGGGTCATGTTTTATTTTATTCAAACGTCTTCAGAGTTCTCCTTGAGATGCTTTATGTACTCTACTAACAATATCATAATCAGAGATCATAGAGTGAATCTTTCCATCTAACATCTAGCAGTAGGTTCACGAGGTTGCATTTAATGACACTAGATGGCGCTATTTAGCTTTCATCGCTGTTTTAAATGATTCACACTACGGCCTCAGACTGGTTACAATATATCATAACATAAACAACGGCTGGTTTGATTATTACTACTATTTTGATTATAAGCACTCGTTATGAGCAGTGTTTTAACACTGTCAACAGCTACTATAGTGTTATTCAAGCGACCTATTGTATGTAAGGCTGTCGAATTCAAGGCTGGGCATTGGTTCTATTAATCGATTATTCCAGTCATCTGCAAAACGTAAGCTTTCCCTTTCAGTTTACCGGTTATAAGATTTATTTATATGTAATGTAATTCAAAATTATCGGTACCAAATATTTTACCAATAAACTTCTAAACTTTTTTTATTCCGCTTCTTACAGAGTTCCGAATTTAAATTATATAATAGCGGAACGACTTTTCATAAATTGATTATCTTATTATCTCGTTACAAAAAAATATATAATTTTACCATCTCCGTTCAAAGTGGGTCAGTTTCGTAATGAATTTGTTACTTTTCATGCTTAAATGTAACAATGGCAGTGTTTATTTACAAAAAGATTACAATAATGAGAATTTTTGTCTATGATAGTTGATGGATATCAGTGAAGTGTGAACCCGAAGTGAATTAACATAATTATTGGGATTCAGTTTAATATTACGAGAGTTTTTATCGCATTACCTTGTTAGCAATGATATATTTTTTATGGCGTTCAATTAATTTTGACGTCATCAAATGCAAATATCTATATTAGATTTTTGTTCTGTTAATGTTCCTTACAGAGAACTATGAAAATTAAATGACAACTGTGCAACGAAATTTAAATATAACACATATCTATAAAGTCACAGATACCAAATCAGTTCCCTCTTTGTTTATTTTGTCACTAACGTTATAAAATAGTACACTATATTTTAATGACTATATCATTATGTATTTGAAAGCGTTATGTAGTTGTGATTCGTGGCTTATTTAAAAGAATCATGCACGCAATGGTTAGCCGCGCATTGATATAATAAATGCAGTAAACTTTGTACTAAAATACTTAAACAGAGATTAGTTAGAACATTCAGTCGGGATAACCTTATTGATTCCCGACAAAATACACGACACGGTATCATAATTAAAACATGCATGTTATTCGAAATGAAGAAACCCGATCGCGTATTTATAATTTATCTGTGCTTAATAAATAAAGACATTTAAAAGTTTGGTAATTCCACGTTCCGACTAACGCAGTTTCACACGGTTTTACAAAATTTTAACTTTGAAAAAAAAAAAACGCAAAAAAGAAAACTACATCTACTAACTGTTATGTGTTACAAAACATTAATACCTAATTAAAGAAGAAAATCCCACGTACGGGTATCAAGAGAACAAACGAGTTTTGCTGAGAAAGTAATGCAATGCTTCTTGTAATGTACTCATAAGGCTTTACGTTTAAAGATTACATGATCAAAAGCATTGGCGGTGATGATATTTTTAGCTAAGAGAATATACATATCATGGAGGGTAGAAGTAAGGAGCACTATCTCAGTTTATTAAAAAGTCTCCCCTGAAAGGGAGCCAATTAAGATGGCGCCATCAGTGGCAGATTTACCCTAAGGCCTAGTAGGCCCAGGCCTGGGGTGGCCAGATTTAGGGGCAGCCCCAATCGTGTCAAAAAACTTATTATAACGTATGGCGGGCGCACTACACTGCATGGTGCAATCTATACCGCATAAAACTAAATTTTTTCATTAAATTTCTGAATCTATTTAGATAAAAGTTAGTAATAGAGTAATTTCATTATGTAGTCTATATGGTGGATGCTGAGAAAGGGGCGGCTGATGGCTTGGGGCCTAGTGCGGCCGAGACTGTAAATCCGCCACTGGGCGCTATAATAGCAAATGGAAAGATTTAAAAAACAGCGCCACAAATTACCACACTTCACTTAAATCCAGCACACTTTAGACTGTTTAAAACTGCTATATTCATATAATTTCCACTTCCCACACTAGCGCTATTTCGGTGAGTCTTCCAAACAATAAATTGTTTTTTACAGGTGGACACTTTTTCAACTTTTCCCCTATACAAGATTGTGCTACTTACCTCTATCCTCCATAGCATAGCCTATCTGAAATAAGGAGGTTGCCCAATTTTACGCTGGAACGTGATTGGAATAATAAGACACGTGTTTGAAGTTTCAATTGTATTACTTAACAGCTATCTCACCCTTCAAAGCGAATCGCAGGTTTGTTTTGCGACAGAAATAGGCAGCACGATGGTAACCTAATGTTCAAGTTCATAAAACCTATCACCAGTAAATTAAAACAGCTCATAGATTCGTGTACTAAAAATCTAACTTAATCTAACGTAATGTTAACCACGGGCCTTGAAAATCTTTAAAAAAAAACATATATCTGCTATTATATGCTAATATCATATTGAATAACGCTGTTACGGACCGGATAATTTCCATCACGGACATTGAAACTAGCAACTTTCTCTATACTAGTTTCACTCAGTGAGCAATGAACGCCAGCGGAGAAAGATTATTATTATTATAATGATTCCCGGTNTAACGTAATGTTAACCACGGGCCTTGAAAATCTTTAAAAAAAAACATATATCTGCTATTATATGCTAATATCATATTGAATAACGCTGTTACGGACCGGATAATTTCCATCACGGACATTGAAACTAGCAACTTTCTCTATACTAGTTTCACTCAGTGAGCAATGAACGCCAGCGGAGAAAGATTATTATTATTATAATAATTCCCGGTGTAAGTTTAATACTGTATAGAAAGCAAAAGGATACAGTAACAGTACACGATTAAGATGTGATTGCAGTAACGAAAGCAACTCTGAAGGAAGTCATCACGGCCTGAGAAGCTTAGCCTAAGATCCAGATCATTGTTCAAGGTGTTAAATGCGAGTTTTTTAACGTTCTCGATAGCGTAAAAGTTAACTCTAATTTGTATGCAGTTGGAACAGCGCCCCTAGCGGCAAACGTTCTAACTCTATACAAAGTTGGAGTATTATATTCGTTCTTTTTAATATTATTTTATTGAATTCTTCTGTGTATGTATTGGAAAATTTGGAAGTCGTCACGGCCTGAATGCTGAATGCTCGTCCACCCATCTAAGCAATAAAAAAATTATTCAAACGTTTGCTTTCAATATTAATTAAAAATATTATAATTGACCACAAAATTATTACCACAAAATTGAGATCAATGAAGAATAACAGACGGCTGTTGAAGAGAACAATGTCGGAAAGCGGACTTATTTCGCACGGTCCTAAAAGTTTCACGTACAGCGTGATTGTAATTAACAACACGCAACGTTTATGACTTCTTAAGTGCGTGAAGTAAAAAGTTCGAAACGGCCCAAAAAA